GGACGGACGGACGGACGGACGGACGGACGGACGGACGGACGGACGTACGACGACCCATGGCAATAGCTCAGCTTGACGATGTCAAGATGAGCTAAAAATTACGAAATTTTATCAAAACTATGACATGGCTTTCAGTTTTTGCCGTTGTTCGCTGTATAGTTTTACAGGCTCTTAATTATATATAAAACATAATATTGCGCTATGAATTAGAATACCACTGCATTATAGGTTTTTGCAAGTCATATTTGCTATACAACTAAATGAAAGTATTCAAACTAGTTGAAAATAGGGAAACAAGATCATCGATACCATTATAATCAGACTTCGACATCATCAGGTTTTCAATGTCCCCTTCAATAGGAGTTGCATCCTAGAAGAAAGAAAGAAAATTTTAAAAATACAACTAATGCAGTAATGCTACCAACACTACTACTGTCACTCCTGTTGATACTGCTGCTACTTCTACTACTACTGCTGCTGCTGCTGTTGCTACCACTGCTGTTGCTGTCACTGCTCTCTCTGCTACTACTACTGCCATGCCAGCCTCAACCATAATTTTTTATAAACATTCACGATACGGCAAAATGCATGCCCGGACCTTTACAGAACAGAAGTCTGCAATTAAAGATACTCTTGGGGGTTTCCCTCCAGTAGCAGCTAGACAGTGAAACGCCCTGGATGACATAGACGCTCATGACATAGGCATAGCGCAATGACACCATTATCTTGAATGGCAGTTCTACAGTCAAACTAGCAACACAGAAATGGCACTGTCTATATAAGGGATACTTTCAGCCTTTTTTTAAGTAGCAGTTACACAGTAAAAGTACATCTATAGAACAGATGCACTGCCTGCAAAGGTCTTGGCTCAAGGCTACATAGTGATATTGGATATTGGAACATTAATCATCATCATTATCACCCTATCCCTAACTCTAACGCTGTAATCTTAACCCTACGCTAACCCTAATCCAAACCTAATCCTAAGCATACCAATCATTAAAATCCAAGGTTCTAAATTAGCCTCAATTGATTGTCGCTTGAAGCATTTTTATCAAATGACACTTACATGCAGACATAGCAGTATAACATAGCTCCAGCGCCATATCGATATACTCATGCTAATGCTCACCTGAATTACTATTTCGGGAACTCCTAATGTCAACGATAGTCGCTTTGAACATTTGCTCGCATTTTTCTTCTGAAATGTAAAAAAAGTATCACACCGTAAGACCGCTACACTATACGGTTGGCCGGCAGTATGGTCAGCCACTGTGACCGTGCAACGGCACCCCACCACTTAAGTACAGCATAAGCCATAGACTCACTCTCCTGACAACCACTCCTCGAGCTGCTTTTCCCTCGTAACCTCGTAAATATTAGTCTTCAAAGTCCAAGGGAAGGCTCAAGGATAGAGAGCATGTCCAGTAATAAACATCATCCTATCCTATCACCGTCCTGGACATCATCTCTATCCTTGAACCCAAGGGACAATAACGAAGACGGAAAGAGACAAAGTTAATCAAATAGACAAATCAACACTGCGAATCGGAGTAGATGTCCTCTTAGACTATCGAGCATGGCGAAATAGGATCACCATAATGCAGAAGCAATCTTAACGCTGCCACTGAGAAGTAATCACAATCAGGGCTCAGGGGCGTGTACAGGATTTGTACCAGGGGGGGGGGGGGGTCTAACCGTAAGGCAAACTTGCGAGCACGCGAAAGGGTAGTCCGAGATTCCTCTGACCAATGCCCACACCGACGATTTTGGTGGTTTTGGTGTGGGTTAGGTCAGAGCAACTTGCCTATGCAAAACGTGGAATTTCTCCGATCCCGCCGAGGATCGCTGTTTCATTGCTCCAAACTCACAATTGGGGCTATCAATCAAGATCTGATGCACATATATCAAAAACTGGATCACTTATATGGGTCTGTCCACAGTGCAGTGTCAAAAA